GACCTGGTCAACAATTTGATAAATTATATAAAATTAAGATTTTAAGTCTGCATTTCTGACAGAAGTGACCATTCATCACATTATGGAGTAATTTGGTTCGAAATAGAGAAGATCCTTGATCCACATTTTTTTTAATTTCCATAAATCTGACATTAAATTCAATATTTTAAGATTAATCAGCTTCAAAACATGGTAATTTATATTAAACAATGCTTTTGTATGAATTAACGTTTTCAGCAATTAGCAGATGAGTTTTATTCTTGTCAATATCTTTTAATTTTCACTCGCAATGTAGTTAATTCCCTATCTCACAATCTAGGTGAGAGATGTTTCTAATGACTGTTAGAAAGGCTGATGTGAGCATATATACTATGTGATGATTTGGAAATGGTGCAGATAAAAATTGAAACATATAATAGTAGTTCTGGAATGAAGAAGAAATTTGAAGATACAAGACACAGTCGTAGCAGACTTAAATTAATTTCTTTTATTACAGTTAAACATTTTGTGACCACAAATACTTGCAACATTAATCGTGCCTGTTCCCGAATAGTTATATTTTTTACATTGCTTTGCGGAAGAAGGGAAAGCAGCAAGCAGCGTCTTAGCGAGAACAGAAGTAGAAGTACGTGCGCAGTTTATCCATTATGAAAGCTTATTAGGACAAAGTTTCAGTTCTCGAAATTTTGAGTTATGTTTCGAATTTGCTGCGTCATCAGAGTTATGTTATCATATTGTTACGAATTTGGTATTTAAAAAGCTAATGTTAGTTCAATTAGAAATTAAATGGTTTTATTTCTCGCGCAGTGCAGCGCGTGACGAATATTAAAAGAAAGCTAAGCCAGAAAATTGAAAATACAAGAGCGCGTGCATTAAATAAATAAATATCTCTTTTTGATTTCGAGAAAGTACTGGAAAATTCTAGCGCGTGATTTTAAAATCTTATAAAAGGAGGAAAACATCTCAGTTTGTAGTAGTTGCTTAGTTTGTTGTTGTTTAGAAAACTACTGTTGTTGATTGTAGCGAATTCGCGGATTAGCGTTCTTTAGCTGTTTTGAATTACGTTCTATTGGACATTTGAGTAGTTAAAAGAAAACTACTGTGAGATATTGTAATACTGCATGATAATTTGAGAAAATTTAAGCATTTTTGTTGTGATAATAATAAATTTTTGTTCATTTTTCATCGGACTTGTGCATTCATTTCATAACGAACCCGTACGCACGCAACAATTTTTGGTGTCAGAAGTGGGATTTGAATGCCAATAACAAGAGCGAAGGAAGAACAATTGAGACAGCTCATTAGTGCTTTTGCTGCATTCCAAGAAAAGATGGAAGCTGGCCAAGCATCATTTAAGGAAGAAATGAAATTGGGCCAGGAATCCGTTAAGGACGAAATGAAAGCCGTTCAAGCTGGTCAAGAAGAAATGAAAAGAGAAATTACTTGCATAATAGAAAATAAATTTGAAGCTATGGAAGGCAGAATTGATGCAGTTGAAAATAAAGTTGGACATATTGAAGAAAGAGTTCTTCGGTTCGGTGAAAGAAGAAATAGAAGAAAGAGTTTCTTCTGTAAAAGAACAAATTGATGAGAGAGTTTCTGCAGTTGCCAAAGAAATGGATACTTTAAAGAAATTCGTAGCGTCGGCAGGGAGCAGGAGTGATGATTTTAAATTTTTCTTATTATACTCCATAATTCAATGCCTGCTCGTCCACCTCTGAAGCTATCCACATATGATGGGAAGACCTCCTGGCAGGTGTATAAGACACAATTTTCTATCGTGGCGGATGCGAATGGATGGGATTCCCCAAGCTAAGGCCTGTCATCTCGCCGCTTCTCTAAGAGCCGACGCAGCGGATATCCTTCAGACTCTTCCCGAAAACAAAAGGTTAGATTTCGAAGCTCTGTCCGGCGCCTTGGAGTTGCGCTTTGGGGAGAAGTGTTTAAAAGACTACAGCAGGCTCCAATTAAAATCTCGTCAACAGAAGCCTACCGAAACACTTCAGGAGCTCGCCGCGGATGTTGAAAGGCTGTCCCATCTCGCCTTTTCGGAATGCCCGACAGAAACAAGGGAAATCCTGTCCTTGCAATACTTTATCGACGGCATCCGAGATACTGAAATACAGAAAGCTCTACGAATGGCGGATGTAAAAGATTTAAAAAGTGCTCTAGAGTACGCCATGAAATTTGAGGCAGCCCAGCAAGCCACTCGTCGAGACCGCCACCCAGTCAGAGCTGCTCAAGTCCAGGAGCCAGGGGATCAAGTCACCGCTCGACTTGACGATTTAACTAGACAACTGAACGCCTTGAGACGGAATATTGGTGAGAAGAAACCGACCGTTAAGTGCTGGAACTGCGGTGCTGAAGGACACATACGACGAAACTGCAAAAAAACACCCCAGGGTACTGATGTTAAGACCGCTTCTAACAAGCAGCAGGGAAACTAATTAGTGGCCATCTCGCGGGGCGGAGGTTGCCAGATAATGAAAAGGCCCCGTTTAAAGCGCTTCAGATTTCTGCAGTGAGAGGCGGCAGTAATGGAATTTTCATAATAGGACATATTAATGGAGTTCCGTGCAATATGACTATAGATACAGGAGCCAACGTCACCATCATCCGAAAAGATTTGGCTCAACAACTAGGAAACAAACTTATCTGGACGCCGCCCTGTGTTACCCTTCAGACTGCGTCTGGTGACAAGATCGACATAACTGGGAAGTTAAACGTAAACATCACGTTTGGAAGTGCCGCCTACCATCACACGGCATATGTGGCGGATATTACAGATCCATGCATACTCGGATTGGACTTTTTAAGGAAATACAATTTTTCCTTAGACTTGAAAAACAACAAACTGCTTTCAGGATCTGAAGACATGACTATCCATCCTAAGAAGGGATCCTCACCTGGAAATGCCGACGCTTTGTCCGAAAGAAACCAGCTCGAGAAACAGCCGAAATCATGCTAGGGTCGAAAAGAAACACCAGACTACCAGCTACTGTCCATCTCAGATGCTCTTCGGTCGAGACCTTCGTCTGCCTTGTGACCGCCTGTTTCATCGCCGTACGGATGCGCCTTCATCGCCTGAGGAACACATCCAAGATGTCAAGGCCCGTTTTGAAGAGATGCACCGTTCCGCACGAAAGCGAGTGAACTTGGCGACGGAGAAAGTGAAGACCAGATACAACACGAGAGCTGCTGGACATAGATCCAACGAAGGAGACAAGGTGTGGTTGTGGAACCCGATTCGACGAAAAGGAGTCAGGCCTGATTTACAGTCACCTTGGGATGGTTCGCACACAATCCTAAACAGGCTAAATGACGTCATGGTTCGGATTCGTAAGTCTTCGAACTCTAAACCTAAAGTCGTTCATTACGACAGGTTAACTCATTACTATGGCCATAGTACGTAATGTAAATAATTGTAAATAGTATCAGACCATGGTCCTTTTTGTTTATAAATGTGTATTTAGTATTTGATTTGCATTCAGTATTTGATTTGTATTTAGTATTTGTTTTGTATTTAGTATTTGATAGCATTTGATTTGTTTTATGTATTGCATTTATTGTTCATGTTGTTTATTATTGTAATGTAATGCTTATTAATGCATTTATGCCACAGTTGTAAGTTTTGCTTCCTGTCCAGGGATTGTACTGCCCGGGACGTGCAGTCCTTGGGAAGGGGTCAGTGTTACGAATTTGGTATTTAAAAAGCTAATGTTAGTTCAATTAGAAATTAAATGGTTTTATTTCTCGCGCAGTGCAGCGCGTGACGAATATTAAAAGAAAGCTAAGCCGGAAAATTGAAAATACAAGAGCGCGTGCATTAAATAAATAAATATCTCTTTTTATTTCGAGAAAGTACTGGAAAATTCTAGCGCGTGATTTTAAAATCTTATAAAAGGAGGAAAACATCTCAGTTTGTAGTAGTTGCTTAGTTTGTTGTTGTTTAGAAAACTACTGTTGTTGATTGTAGCGAATTCGCGGATTAGCGTTCTTTAGCTGTTTTGAATTACGTTCTATTGGACATTTGAGTAGTTAAAAGAAAACTACTGTGAGATATTGTAATACTGCATGATAATTTGAGAAAATTTAAGCATTTTTGTTGTGATAATAATAAATTTTTGTTCATTTTTCATCGGACTTGTGCATTCATTTCATAACGAACCCGTACGCACGCAACAATATGTATGGATTCATCTAGAAATGACGCAGTCCAGAAATTATTACTACTTTCAGAATTGAGAAAGGAAGTACTGAAATTAAAATTAAGCATTAAGGAGCTATTGTTAATTTAAATTATAATTTATATTTACATATTTTTATGTAAATATAAATTATAAGTGTATACTGTGTAAGTATTGTACTGTGTAAGCTCTATTTCATTTATGTTTATTGTGAATGTTTCTATTGCCTGTCAACGGTAGTTTCTGTTTAAATTTCAGTTGTATTGCAAGTTAAATAAAAGCTATAATTTAATTTTCATCTAAGTTGTTCTGTGTTTATTTAGAAATTAGAATATAAACAATTGTATTCGCTGATTCTAAAATTGTAGCCTTGTTGCAACAGACCAATAGAAGTGAAATTCACGATTTTGGATTAGGCAAAGCGTTATAACCTGTACTATTAATATTTTTTTCTAAAGTTAGGAAAAGTAAGAAATCCGATTCTCTCATGTCAGTGAATAGTACGGAGTTTGAACCACACTATCTCTTGAGACGCATCTTCATCTCGAACGTTACAAATCACAAATAGATCAGATATTGAAGAATTTCATTGATCCCATGGGCATTGCCGTTGAAAAGTATTTAAGAGGTTTAAAAATTTAATCATTAAAGTCAGACGAACTTTTACATATCGCCATAAAACTTTATTCATTTTTAAGATGGACGATTTAAAATCTAATATCAAGTAATATACTTAAGATTAAACATAATTTGCAATTAAAGAAGAAACATCAAATGATCCCATATTTATAACATTATAATTCGTTAACTTACCTGTATTTAGTACATCTAGGTGGTATGGCAAAGCACCATGTAAAGTATCTGGTTAGCTGCGTTTTCACATAGGACATTCTGTAAGGTTCTTTGTACCTAGTAAGAGATAACATATTAATAAAAAAAAACACTTTCATTGCAAAAGAAAAGTTATTTTAAAAATGCATTGGCACGCTGTCGAGAAAGATGAGCCATAAAATATACATCATTGCATAAAGTACTATGAACTGGTCATGTATTGATTATACAATGTAAAAAATAAATCTGTAAAATTTTAGAATTTAACTTTTTCAAATAATTTGAAACAAGATGCTGAATGATAATTAGTGATAATTATTACTAATACACCTCAATTTTTTTTACTTTATTGTAAAGACATTAAAATGAAATTTTTTAATTGATTTCATTCCGTCCATATCTGCTGTTACGGAATCAGTGACTGAACAATGAGAAAAAAATGACCTTTTTCGCTGAAGCTATTAAAATTGCAGCAAAATTCTTTGAATTAGTGGACACCGTCTATGAAGATCAAAATTAATACGATTTAATGTTTCTCATTGATATACGATAAGATTGTAGAATACGCATAAGATTGTAGAATTTTATGTTTGTTGCCATTCTTTCCGTAGTCCTCACCAGAATGCAAATTAGTTCTTAGAGTATTTAAGCCCGAGTATATGAATATTTTAAAGTTAGAGTTTTTGACAGCCTCGCTTGTATTTTACGTCCTATCGTCAGCTCTATCAAGGTGATTCGAACTTTAGTCATTTTGTTGGCCGACGTTAAATACACGGTGATTTGTATTTAAGCCAGTTTGCATAAATCACTTCGTGTAGTCTCCGACTACGTTACTTGAAGTTGAACTTATGTTAAGTACCCACAAGTGTCGGAGTTTTGTTTTGTAAGCATAACTGGTGCCTTCTTTTAAATTTAAAGAGTCAGACGGACTTTTACATATCACTATAAAACTTTATACATTTTTAAGATGAACAATTTAAAAGGTTATTTTAGCCTTTGTAAAAAGGTTATTTTAGCCTTTGTAGGACTTTGTCCTATTAATTAACTTGTGGTAAAGCTGAACGTCCAAAAGTTGCTGCCATTTTATAGTTAGTTTTATAGCCATTTTATAGCCTTCATGTGATGGTCGAAAAAATCAAGAAGCTGGATTCATGCACTTTCCCAAGGTGGGATTTCAAAATTCTACACTGCTTGGGGCCACATATCAGAGGGGGAGAGTTCCTCAATGACAGACAGAACTCTTAAAGGAAAGGAAGGCACACAAGATGGACGTGCTTCAAATAAAGTGTTACACACATTATCAAGTAAACACAGCTTATTAGGATGTTCAGGTTGCGACAAAATATTAAAATACTGCAAAAGGGGCAAATGTTCACGCCTCAGATGAAGTGATGGGTCGTTAGAGTCAGCATAAAGGCTCTGGACAGAATATGTCCTGAAACCTCCAGAACAAATCCACAGAGCTTGCTGATGAACAGGACCTAGTTTTAACAAAACTGAAGACCGAGCGGATTCGTAAACAAGTGAGACATAGTACAGTCTAGAACGGACAAGCGCTCTGTAAATGCAAAGCATACAGCAGCGCACTGCACCCCAGGAGGTGCTCGTTAAGAGTTTTAAAATATTTAGTGTTTTTAAACACTTCTTTCTCAGGTTTGAGATATGAGAAAGGAAAGTCAATTTTCGGTCAAACATCACTACTAAAAGTTTTACTTTAGGTGCAACTGGAATAATTGAACCATTCAGATATAACTCAGGCTCAGGATGGGGACCTCGCTTCCTAAAAACGTCCATGCACAAAGTCATCTGTTTCGAAAGTGTAAATCATTGTTTTTCTGACCATTCTTGGATCCTGTTCAAAGCGATCTGCAATTGCCCCTCTACACGTCTCATGTCCGCCCCTGGACAGCTAATCTGTCCAGGGGCGTAGTCCAGTCTGTAGATCATCAACATATAAAGATCCCAAGATAGTGGGAGGAAGTTCTTTTAGCACAGAGTTGATTTTTAAGCTGAACAGGCTTACACTGAGCACACAGCCTTGAGGCACACCCTGTTCCTGTTAAAAAACATCCGACAAAACAGGACCAAATCCTTACTTGAAAAGTTCTAGCGTTCAAAATATGCTAAATGAAAACTGGTAGGTTGCCGCGAAAGTCAATGTCATTAAGATCCCCGGGTATACCGTATCTACATGCACTCAGAAAATTTCGCTGCTTCCACACCCTGTTGTAAAGAGTAAGAACCGCACTCAGTGACTTATAGGACAGATACTTCAGCATGTCGTAATTCACGCCATAAAGAACCGGACAAGACCTATGTGTCTGCAACAAAGCTCTCTTTAACTCAAGAATAATAAAATCTCTATCATAAGCCTCAGAGTTGGAAGAGTTGAATGCGATAGCATCTCTTTCAGAACGCTATTTGATAGAGAGAAATGCAGGCAAATAGTTTCTGCTGGAAGAAACTGCAGCAAATATCTCACCAATAGTATTCGCAATTTCTTCTATGGAGCTAATCACTCGGCCATCTTTTCCAAAAAGGAAAGTGAGTGGTCTTTATAAATTCCGCATGCTTTCCTAAGTCTTTCCCAAACCCGCATACTAGGCGTAGAGGATGTAATTGATGACACATATGAAATCCAGAAATCCCTCTCGCTCTGCCTTCTTACGTTTCCTGCGTTTGCTTTGGCTCTTTTAAACGCTATAAGATAGTGCACAGTAGGGTATCTACGAAAATTTCCCCATGCCTTTTTCTGTTTTTTCAGTGCTTCATGACAGCCACGATACCATGGTTTCGAATATTTTAGCACTTTTCTCGTTGTTCTCGAATTGAGAGCGTAGCTGCCTGAATAATAGCATTTGGAACCGTTTTCACTGCATCATCAATACGCAAATCTTTTACCATGTTCTCCGCGAGCTCTGCAGAGGAAGAGAAAGTTACTAGTCGGCCTTATCCAGGATAAAGCGAGGAGGTCTCGACATGGGGTTTGCTCCTCTTCGTGCAAGAGATACAAAAATGGGATAATGATCGCTGTTGTAGAGATCACTACACTACAATTTTAAAATGGCAACAGAGATGGTGAACAGATGACTAGATCAAGAGCGTGAAATGTCCTTGTGGGTTCATGGAAGTATGTGTCCTGCCCATTATTCAGGAGACAGAGGCAATGATCCTTAATCATATGCTCAGTTTGCCTTCCTCATGGTTTTTGCTTATTTAGTGTCTTATTTGGTGTCTTTGGTTCCCTAGAGCAGATTATGGGCTTTAAAATCTTCCATTATGATAAAAGGCTCATGCAGCTGCGCCACAAGGTCATTTAAATCCCGTTGATCAATGAAGACAAATAAAGAGAAAGTATGAAACCAAAATTCTCAAAATATGAGAATTTTCTTGTATAGCGACAACTTGGAGGGATGTCGTCAAAGGAAGGGCACTTGATGGATAGTGCAGTGACATGAGGAGACCTCCACCTCCACTGGCATGCTCACCTGCAAGGTTACCTTTCCTAACGAAAGAAAACCTCCGAAATTTTGCTTGTTGTTCTGGTTTCAGCTTTTTCTCCTGTATTGCCAAGCGCACAGGATGATAAGGATTGATCATAGCTTTGATGCCGAGAAAATTTCCATGAGACGAGGGTGGCCATTATAATTGATGTTTGTTCTTTCTGTGCTGTTTCTTTGTTTTGCGTGGAAGCAGATGTTTGGGAACTTCCAGTCCCTCCTTTACTTCCCTACTATCTGAATCCACAGATACAGAAATCATTCCATCAAGAGAGCTATTGCTAGGGCTTCTATTTTTGTTAACTACGTTTGAAGGGACATTTTTGGTTTCCTTATAATTACTATTTCTTTATTTTGAATCACATGGGTTGGAGTTTCCTTTTTCTTGCTGTTTGTAATCTGCTGGGGTTTGTTTGGTGGAGTCTGCGTACTTATTGCAGTTTGGGTAGCAACTTTGATGTCAGAGCAATCGCGTAAGATGTATTTGATTGAAGCTGCATGCTTTGAACTAATCTTCTGACTTCAGCATATGAGATGTTCCTAGTAACTTTCGCCGTCTGTACTTCCTTTTCTGATTTCCATTTTGGACAAGAACGGGAAAATGCTGGATGGTCACCCTTGTAATTCAGACACAATGCTATAGCAGTGCAATTATCGCTATTGTGACCAATCAACGAGCATCGAACGTATGTCAGGTGCCACGACAGGAAAATTTGGAATGGCAGAAAGACTGGCATTGGAAGCATCGCATAGGGTTTGGAATATAAGGTCTTATGAGCAATTAACATATCTAACCTTTATATTTCAGTACATCAGGCTATTGAAGGTCAGGATCACGTGTGTGTCAATCAATTGGCTTTCTTGCGCATCTTGATCCGCTTAGCAGTACTAACCTTTTGGTCAGCTAACTCGGAAACGAACTCTTCTTCTGAAACAAACAGAAGGTCGACTTCCGAGATTACACCGCGAAAATAATTCAGTGTCTTATGTGCTATTACAGTGACATTTGCTTGCCCAAGTTTGGTTATTTGAAGTAAGGAAGCAGACTAGTGAAGTTGTATTAATAAGCAAGTCTCCAGAGCGGAGACGCTTTATATTTCTCGGCTCACCAACACAAAAACGAATGTATTTATTTATTAGGAAAGGAGACATCTTTTGCAGTTCGCCAGGAGGACTAGAGATAACGAGGAAACGGGGACATTTGTTAGGATTATTCGCATTTGCATCGGTACGTACGTTTTTAACAGTCGACTTTTCAGAAGAGTTAGTGTTTGGAGCAAAATGATTGACCTCAAAGTCTTTTATTAATTATAGATAAGAATCAGCCATAATGAAGATAAAAATTATTTGAGTCCGACCGCCTCACCCACCACGGAGTTCAACAAGGGAACACAGATTTCTGTGTTAGGGCTAGCCAGACCTATACGCAAACTGAAGCCCCACAGTCGGCTTTCCCGAAAGCAGGTACTCCGGAGAGCTTATCCCCAAGCCCCTGACACAAGGACTTGCGACCAGCCAATTCACACTCGTGAGGACGACAAGGTGCCTCCCGTTTAGCTGAAGCAAAGGCCAAAGCAGTGTGTTGGGGACAGTACCTCTCCGCTCAACTACCAGCACCCTCCTTTCCAGCGACACGGGACTCGACGCACGGCAAACACATGGGCAGTTTTCTCGCCACTCGAAATCTGGAGATCAGTTTCTCATAACGAGCTCTATCCTCTGGAGATGAAGCCCACAAGGGAGAATGGAAGGAAAAAAGCTTCAGTTCAGAGGAGAGGATACGGAAAAGAGAATAGATCACTGAAGCTCCAGGAACGTGACACTCGTCTCACCAAGAATATAATCTCCTGAAGGGCTACGTTACCTCGAGATCGCCGCATTCGCACTCACAAAAGTGAGCTCCTGAGGGGTAATTTTTAAGGAATGCTAAATTTAGTGCTTTATAATCGGAGACTTAAGAAGCTTTAGTGAATACTAAAGTTAGAATCCCTTAAAAAGTAAGATATTGACTCATAAGTGATTCTAATTTAGTATTTGTAAAAGCATCTTAAATCTCCTATTTAATTTGATCATGTCTCCTCTATCGTAAAAATTGTGAAACGCTTCCCTTTTCGAAGTGTATGCTTTTAAAATTAACCCTCGGTATGTAAAATTCTTATATAATGCAAATAATGGATGTTCTTCACCGGAAAAATGAAAGTAAAACCAACAATCATGAAAGCAATAGTATTATTTTAAAGCTTGCTTTTATTTCATGGCTATGTAATCTGTAGCTTCTCCTTTTCTATATGTGTATGCTTAAACTGTTTAAAAGACGGTGCAGTTATCAAGACTTTCATTGCTTTATTTTGCGACATTATAAATTATATCTAAATAAAGATGATCTGTGCAAGTCTACGAGCTGCCAGATATTCAAGAAAAAATCAGCACCAGCTGCACCATCTTTTTCACTTAGCAGTTACGGTAGCGCCTTAATTCGTTTATTTTGTAAAACGTCGCATCATAAAGTTTTCTCGTGCTTATATAGCTACAAATAAAGTTACGAATCTCCAATATAAGCAATATTACGTGCGAAATGGGATATTAAAATTTCCTACTACTGTTAATCAAACAACCTGCGCACAAGTAATATAAAGAATAAATCAAATAACTTGTATTTATTGAAATAAGCAAATAATTTTCAATCATATAAGAATAATCAAATATTCTGCGTACGTGATAACTTAAAAGAATGGCTCAAACTCACAGTGCACCCGGGCCAAATGCACGATCTGAATGTAGCTGATGAGCCGCAATATTTTTTTAATGTTTTTAACTAAATTTTAAATTCATTGAACAAATATTTATTTAAACATGCATGATGAAGCAAAGAAAATTTATAGTTATTTTCTGCCTGAAACGCAAAAGTTGGTATCTGTAAAAAATTCTGTTAGTTATGCTTTGTGACTCAAGTGGCTATATAACGCTCGTTATTTAGTGGAATATTTAGCGGATTTCACAGTTAAATATTAAATTTTCAGAATGATATTTATTTCAGTATAAAAATATTTAGCATTTGCCGGATGATCAAGCATGCTACAGCTTACCAACAAAGGAAGATCATATATCCCAACCATGTGACATGTATTGCAAATAAACTGTACTCGTTTTATGAAAACATTAGGAAGGAAATTTAAGAAGCAAAGTCAATGATGAGTAAACTTGAAGTCAGCATCGCTGCCCTCGATTACTTTTCAAGTATTGATTTGGAATTCTACTTTTAAAAACTATAATTCCCCAACTGCAACTTCTTTAGTTTTCGACTCATTTCATCTTCATCTTGTAAATGTTCAACCTGCAAACTCTACATAGTTTTTATTTAATCAATATTTTGCTTTCCTTTTTTAACTTTTGTGTATTTTCGTGTAATTGCGCTTTGGGCACTAACCGTTCAAAGGCATTGGTTCTCCCTAGCCATGCCTACAAGTTCAAGTATTTCATTTTTAACATTAATAATTGTGTGTGAATAAAGCAATCTGTATTTTTCCTCATTGCTTTACATTATGAAATAATGAAAAATACAAAAATTTATTTAATTATAAGCTAAATTTTAGCTTAATTACAAACTTTTAACTGATTTCTGCTAACATTGACCTCGACCCATCAGGTGCCCTCTCAAGACCACGTGATTTCTCAGACTGCCTCCACACCAAACGTATGGATCGAAGATTTATGCTTCTAAAGTTTGAACTTTACTAAATTCATGAACTTTCATTATTATCTTTCGCCTTTTGCGACGATGTACAAGTGTACATCTTTCATTATTTAAACCAAGCAAATATCTAAATGGTTATAATTTTCAGTGTACTGGTAAAAACTCTTAGTAGTTGAGGCCAGAAATAAAGATACGATCAAAGATATCAAAGATATTTATTTCAAATAATTCTAGTATTTTGAATTAACCACTAAATAACTTACGTTTAACTTTAAATTTACAAATTAGGAAAAATTTCCAAATGAAACAAAATTTGAGAATAAATAATGGCAACCAATTTTTTTATTATTATTTACTATATTTTTCTTCGAGTTAGGCTGAAAAAAATGCATATATTTGTATGTAAATAATATAAACGTCTTTACTACAATTTTCAATGTTTTACTACAATTTTCAGCTATAACACCCCATAGAGTTTCGATTTTGGTAAACTTTTCAACCTTAAAGAAAAATTGCTATAAACTACCTTCTTCGGCCCATATTATACATCTTATCGAACAATCTGGTTCTTTTCTTATTAATTTACTACTGCACAAAAAAAAACTTTTCACATATAAATGCAGTCCCAAACAAACCGATATACTTATTGCAAAAAATTCGTAACTGAGGATATATTCATTTATATTTTGAGAACTAAGGATAAAAGTTAAGCAAATATCCCTATTCAAATCTTTGAATAAGATTTATATCATACAGTAAATTAATTAGCTCCATTTTCAAATTTTTAGCGGCATTACTCATGCTCACTAATATGAAACTGGACTCTTAGTCATTAAAATCTTAAACGTTTTCTTCAAATTTTTGTCATAATAATGCTAATTAATATACGGGCATTGTATTTTCGGCCTGTGTAAAATTGCTTCAGAAACCGCGAGTTTGAGACTACTGCCATAAAGAATAAAACAAAGAACTTGCATTTGATGCTCTGTGCAAACATTTGGACCACTTAAAGCTGCAACCATCACTGATGATACCCAGTACAGAATGAATGCAAATGCTAGATGTAGAGTAGGACGCATTCTGTTGCAAATAATCAGTAAAATGACCTACATAACAAAAGAAATGAAAAGTTTTAGTTAGAGCGGAAAATTTAAAAATAGTCATATATTTAAATTTTACTGATCAATGGCTATATATATATGCAATAATTTTATAAATGTGTAGATGAAGGCACTGGAACTTTTAACAGCTTACGATACTGCGTAGATGACCGAGAAGACCGTAGTGGCAGTGTGTAAAGCTATGGACCTTATAAGAGATAGACTAACCCAGTGGGCGCGCGTCACCGACATGTCGGCAAGAAAGAGTAGGGACGATCTGTTTACTTTAACACTGAAACCTATGGCGTTTGTATCACATAACTATTTTTAATTATTAAATGTGATACGTTGTATAGTGATGAGATTATGAAAGCCACAGTTTGTTTCAAATAGGATTTAATATGTCTCATTAAAGCACTTTTTACTGCATTTCGCGCATTTTTTTCACGTGTAATTCTTGTAAAAACCTCTTTACTTTTGGTAAAACGGCAAAACTCTAAACACAAAATTTATGAACTTAATTTTGCGTAAAAATAAACTAAAATTAAATAAGATTGATAGTACGTGATGCTGAAATAAATAAGGTAAAATTAAGCAAGATCTGATAATTTTTTTTAAAAAATTTAATGAACGTTTTCAGGCAGTGATTTTCCAAACTATAATAACACTACAAAACGATCATATTTATTTGATCATATGATCATTAAATTATTAAAGTGGATTAGTTCTTTTAATAATTCATAAAATTCGGAGAATAAAATTTTCTGAGCTTAATGAGGGAAAGAAAAACGATAAAATAAAATCTAGAAGCACTCAGATTTTATATTACGCCCAAAAGGAAAAATTTTTTAAAGTTTTGTGTGTTACCTATATTTATTGAATATCATGTTCTTCGCCCATAAACCCCATACATTTGAAAACAGCATATTTTTAGAATTTACGCACTGGAGATAAAACTGTTATTTTTCGTACAGTGCTCGCTCTGAACTCGTTGAGTTTCTTAATCAAAAATTCGTTAATGATTTACAAAATATTAAATAGATTAAAACAAATTCGAAATTCGGCCGTCCAGATGCTCATGTTCGGGTGGAAGATTACATTATTCAAAATTTGATGGCTCTAGATACTGTCGTTTTTGTCACAGTGCAAGAAACATACATGTATTCAAGAAGATTCTTCATTATTTAATTTTATTACTTTACATATAATACAGGGCGATCATATTTGGTAACAACAATTTGCAAGGAGACACGGACATTTATAGTAAAACAGCGCAAAATGCCGCTTCGAAACTAACAGCCTTTCTAGGCTACCGCCGCTTTGGGCTAATAAATTAAATTAACAGTACATAAAAAAATCTTATGCAGGACTAAAAATAAATTTAAAAAGTAATCACTATAAAATACAAGCAAAATTAATTGTTACCGTTAAATGCAATTTTAATATTAGAATTAAATGTATAAAAGTTATTAAGGAGTCAAAAGTGTATTACTATGATGTATTATGAAATATAATTGAAATAAAATTCCTTTATAGAAATTGTGCTATAATACTCATCTATAATTTTAAAAACGCAGCACAATTTAGAATTTTAAAAAAAACTTTCAAAAATTCGTTTTTAAATATTTTAGCATTTTTTACTTATTTACACCAATAAAAAGCATAAAAATTGCAAGAGAAAATTGCTTGTTTGAAATTTTCTATTAGTTCAGATTTAAAATATTATTTTCTAAAAGAAGTAGTTGCAAATTTCCTTACAGCATAGGAAAAGCTAAAGAAATATCCAGCCCTGAAAGCATGCAATAGCTTTATAATTATTTGGAACGTTAATTATGCTTGATAAATATGCTAAATTTTTAAAAATCTATCTCAATTTCAAAAATAAAAATATGTAGAAATTCTAATTTGTGGAATGAGGCGCTACAACCAGCTTTTTCTTGACAATTATACACGCTGCAATAGGCACCAATGTTAAATTTCTGCAAGTCATCCCTACTTCGGATGTGATCAAGGTGACAACCGGCAACGCCTCAGACGAGAGGGAAAACCCGTTTGGGTTAGTCTATTTCTTATAAGGTTCATGTGTAAAGCACGATGACGCAATTTAGCACAACGTATCTTGAAAAATCACAGTCTTTATTTTTGTACGCATATCAAATCATCCTTTTACAAACAAGATGTTCCTAATTATATTTGAATACAGTAAGTCGCATTTTGAAGTAGAACGTCATCAAGTAAGTAAGCAGCAGCAGCAGTATAGTTTAAAAACATCTTGCTAGCAGGAGAGCTTTGCGGAAAAAGGGCAAAGTTTCAGAGTTTCGGTTTTAGAGTTTACAATGAATTTGATTGGAAAAGAGGCATCTGCATTAAAACGTTACGTAAGATAGAAAAATCTGGAACCTGTGAGAATAGATGAATTTAGAGGCAGATCAGCCTAGCTACACTGCTGTCTTTCTGCCTCTTCTTTTTTGCTACAAAGTTATTGAATATGTAAGCTTTTTGGAACAGGCACATTTAATGTGTGTAACCACAACATGTTGCTAAAAACAAAACTGAGGATTTAATCAGCGTTCGCCTCCAATTTTTTTAGTCATTACTTCTAAGTTTGTTCCTGCTTTTGAATCTATTACAACTGAGCGACCTTCCGCTGCCGTTGTGTGCTGTCTGCTTCACGCGGCAATTAATGACACATAAGCAAATTTAGATTTACTTGTCTTAAGCATATTCTACAGATTACCAAATTTAGAATGTTAATTTTGAGGTCGCCAATTATTAAAAAATAATAGCAGCTAGCTCAATCAATAAAAAGGATTTAAATAATGAAATGTTAATTCACATGTCAAAGATCTCTTTGTACACAACATTTCTTGTGTAGATCTTTCCATCATTTTTAAGCTCGCCTTACAGAGGACCAGCTCGCCTTACAGAGGATCATCTTTAATTTTACGTCCGTTCTTTCACGAACTCTTGAACCGGCAACATAAACTTGACCGTGTTCAAATACAGGCTCAGATAAAAAAATGCCAACACGCTTAAGCGTTTGACCCTGAAACTTATTGATGGTCATAGCAAAGGCAAGTTTTTACAGGAAATTGTCTACTTCTCAATTGAAACGGCAACACTGTGCCGTGGCAACTTCACCCCCATTGGCTAGTACAGTTACGTAAGCAGCCAATAAACTATTGGCGACAAACAGACACTTAAGCCGCATATATACATGTGGTGAAGTAACATCATCTCCTTCGAAACGGCTGGCTCCCGGGCTTAGCGAAGCACACCGGTGGATTCCGAAGATCCGTGGCACGCCATTTTGACCATTCGCGTCTTCTTGGGACTTTAATTAGCCGAGATATTAATAAAAAAACTAATTTTTCCCTACATTTTCCACTTTCTTTCTTGGGTTTTCCTTATTAGAAGGATTTGGCTAATTGCCAAATTCTTTTTTCTCGAATATCTACGGAACGGCACCGAGTTGAAATTCGAAACGCTATCCTCGGATTCCAAAAAATTCTCCGAATCCATCGATACTGTTCTCATCTTCGTACGACTTTAATCGGTTGAGATATTAATTAAAAACTGCGGAAACGTTAATTTCCGAGCTCATTTTTCCGAGTGGCAACAATAAACTATCTGCGACATACACTTTAGCCGCTTATATATGTAAAGATGTAGGTATGTGTGTGTGTGAAATTAATATGAAATTACAATAATGAATAGTATTTAATTAATCTTTGGTAACAGGTGAAAACCTCATATGTCAACCACAGCGTGTATGTTTTTTATTGAATATCTGTATGAAACAAATCTGATTGGGTTTTTGAGGTTGTTGATTATGTAGGGAGATTTTCATTGAGCAATGTTTGTGTGCTATCCCACTGCTTCTGATGCGGAGCGTTCACCACAGTTAACAGTAAATAGGGTGGGTGGTTTTAATCTATCTTCAAACATATTGACATCTTTGCCTTTGATGGTCACATTAAATACTTGTCTTATCTCTTCACAACTGTAAAGGATCTATCATAAGCAGGTTCTAATGGTTTTTTAACTCTATCAACACGTATGAATACACGTGTACAATTGTGCAAATCCTTATGAACAAAAGATTTTGGAGAAGGTTGTCGGCGACTTTCTAGTGGTTTTAACAGTTCCATTTGTTTCTGTAGTTCTTAAGCAAACATCTCGGTATCCAAGATATCGTTTGGTTTGTCAAAAAATTGTCCAGGTAACCTGATAGGTTTTCCCGTAAAAAAACTGTGCAATGGTTTAATTTGTATCACTACGCAATGCCGATCTTAGCCCTAACGAAAGTGTTGATAAGGTTTCCGTCTATTTAAGAGAATGGTGTGCTCTGATTGCAGCCTTTAAAGTTCTATGGATCCTTTCAATTTTCCCATTACATAGGGGATGATATGCCATTGCTGTGCATATTTTAAATCCACAAAAAACTTTAATGATTTTAAAAAATTCGTATCGAAACTGACTACTTTGATCAGTGACTACACGGTATGGCATACCAAAGTGCGAATTCTAGTCATCAAAAAATTCTCGAGCTACTGTAAAGAACTATACTACTTCTCTCTTCGTTCTCTAAAGAACGAGCTACTTTAGAGAACACATTTGCTAAAGGAATAATTTCTATTCAACATGTGAATCATTTAATGCGGGTAAGGCAAAACATTGACAGCCTTCTGATTACAGCTTTGATACATCTGTTCTCAGGAAGTTCAAAACAGTGATAGCGGACTCCAGCATCCATAAGCACCTTAATGATTCGTCCGTATAAAGTTGGAGCCTTAGATTGGATTTTGAAGCCACCCTGAATTACTTGTCCGTAATAACCCCGTTCAGCTTGCAGATTATATCCAATTATAGAACTTTAACGGGGAAGAAAGTGAATCTTTCATCTTTTATGATAATAGGTGGTGGCTTTCGTCCTAAGGAGCTCTGATTAATTGAAGGTGTCATCAGTGTAGGTTGATCATTTGGAGTAGTATCCATAGCGTGAGGTTTGGAGGCAGCAGCAGCCTGTTCAGCAATCTGTGAATCAAAATGCTGAGGAGATGGAGGGTGAGGGGCAGTCTTCCGAATAGGTTTTCGAGTGTAGTGTCCCCTTTCGGACCGCTCTCCGAATCTGAACTTTCGTCCAAAAAAGCTTTGTAATTTCTGATGTCCTCATCTGAACATGCAGGAATTTCAGCCCATCTGACATTCGTCTTAGCAGTTAATTTAAAATCTTAAGAAGCTTGTTGAAGACCGTCGTTGAGATTACTTAAATTCTGGTGGGAAAAGGTGTAAGGTTAATATTTAAATTAAACAACTATTATGATTTCGATCCTTACTGTAATTTCTCCTTTCCGTATTCCTCACCAGAATGCAAATGAGATAATCAGTATTTAAACTGAGGTTTTTGGATTTTAAGACAAAGCGTGTTTCTAACTTCGCGTGCACGTTATATGTTAGTTCCTGCCAGCTGTGACATTTGTAAGTATTCGACTTTGCATTAATTTTCGTTCAAATATCGATATTACATTATTTTCTTAAAATGTTTATAAATAGTAAATGTTTTTAAACTTCGCATTCTTTTTTTATTCAAAAAAGCGTTTATAAAAATGCAGTGAAATATTTTTGTTTAAAAGTTCTACAAATGCGATACAAAAAATTAACATTTTAACTACTCTTAAATTCAAACAATGCTTTTACAACACCATATTAAGTAAGGCACTAAATGTGTTGAATTCAATTACATAAACTTGATGTAAATATTTTCTTATTATAACTTTTTAATGTGAAAGTAAAATTGGATGTTCTGCAAAATATAAATAAGTGAAACCAGAATTAAATATTTAAATGAAAAAGATAAAAAAAAAAAGATTGAATTAAAGAATACACCAAAAATGGCGAAAATAAACATATTTATTTCTTTGGAAAATATAACAATTTTATTTAATTGTTTTTTTTAATTTGCATTTATCTGCATTATTCTTTGCTTTTCTGATAAGAGAATTCCAAAGTTTAAAAAAAAGAAAAAAACATTTGACATTGACTTTCCCTCTTCTTACTTAGTAAAAGTCGTTTGACATTGACTTTCCCTCTTCTTACTTAGTAAAAGTCGTTTGATAGATTAAATTCGAAACTCTTGTAAAACTAGAATTTGTGATTCTGTTTCTGAAAATTCGTTCATATTTCTAAAATTAAAAATAATACAAAAAAGTCTGAATGCTTTCAGATTTTACATTACGGCCAAAGGGACTTTTTTTAACATTTTATGTGCTACCTTTATTTATTAAATATCATGTTCTTTGCACTAAAACCATAAAGCGCAATACAACAGCAATATCGCAAAATAATTTTAAAATGAGCACATCTTTAGAATTTCCAATACACAGTCTCGAGCGCTGGGGATAACTTTTTTTTCGCCCGTACAGTGCTGCTATTGCTCCCTTTGAAATCGTTGAGTTTGTTAACCAAAAATTCGTTAAAGTGTTATAAAATATGAAATCGATAATAAAACAAATTCCAAGTTAGGGCTTCCAGATGCCAATATTCGGTGGAAGATTACTTTATTCAAAATTTGGTGGCTCCAGGTACTGTTGTTGCTGTTGTCCTGTCCAAGGAGTCAGTGCAGGGGAGTCAAACAGGGTCAAAAGTATCCAGAACAGCCGCAGCAGCATCAATAATTTTCGAAGAATAAGAGGAGTTGATGTGAGGCAGTTATATCAGTACTGAAGAGCTTGGCCAAAATAGCAGGACAGTCGAAGAGATAGTTTTTAGAAAGTTCGATATCAATACAGTGAGAACAGCTTTTATAATTTCGTTGACCATCAGAGGATATCTTCACTCCTTTCAAGTATTTTGTCCTCAGTCTGGCTATGGTAGTGGAAAAGGTACGGTTGCAATTTAGGGCCAGAATGGAATTCTTCTTGATTGACTGGGAGGTAAGTCTTCAGCTGGCTATTGCGTCAACATCGGTAAGGGTTAAGCTGTTAAAAAATTGAGAAGTGTTTCGAGCGTCTTTGGCGAGGCCATTAGCCGGTTCATTTCCGTAAATATCAACATGCGCTGGTATCCACTGTAGTGTTCAGGTCCTTTGGGCTGCAGTAGAGCATGATAATGTCCTGAGTAAGTTGAGTGTTGCCCCTTAGGATGGCTTGGAGGTGACAGGTGAATGCAGGGCCCGGACACCCGGACGGCTTAATATGACAAATCGGGTGTCGTTCGGTACCAGCACCTATTTAGAACAACACAACCCTAGCGACTTCCTGAAAGGGCTGCATCGGAAATATATTAATGGAGAATATGTGGTATTGACGTGGCCAAACAAGGGCGTGTGCATATATATGCTTCAGTATACAATTAATAAAAAGTTTCATACATAGGTACATTGGTGGTATAGGTACATTGGATACATATGTATATTGGTCTAAGGGGTTAATGAGATAGGCAGGATGGCTTGGAGGGCAGTTTTAGAATCAGAGAATAATAAGACACTCCTAGAGTTCTGGATTGCCTTGGAATGGTAGATATCTAAAGCTTTTTTGATGGCCACGAGCTCGCAGGTATAATTAGAGACAATTTTGTCAACAGGTATTTTATGGGATAGAGGCGTAAAGGTTGTAGAGATATCAGGCATTTTTTGAAAGCAGGAGAGATGAAAAATGAGCAATGTCCTCGCTGGGACTCGAACTACGGACCTCACTGAGCGTGCTGACCACTACACCTCGAAGGCATGTTAAGATGGCGGGAGAAATACATTATATACTTCCCCTTTTTAAAGGGCGACTGGGGATTAGAGGATCCAGTCGCCAAGTCCTGGTGGTGGAGAATCATCATCAATCTTCTGGCACCTTTTTTAGTTCGGGCGCCACTGTAGAGACATTAGGATGAAGTAGAAGACACGAAAAATGAGCAATCCCCTCGTCGGGACTCGAACCACGAACCTCTAGAATTCGCACAGAGCGTGTCAATTCCTACACCACAAAGGCATGCTAAGTAGGCGAGAGAAATACCTTATAAGGTGCAAGCACCCTATTATTAAATTCACATGCAGATTCTTCATTATTTAATTTCTTTAAATGTAACTCAGGGCTCTAATATTTGGTGGCAACAATTTGAAAAGTAACCGACATTTATAGTGAAGCAACGCAAAATGCCAAAGCGAAATTAATAGCTCTTCTGGGCTAACGACCTTTGGGCTAAAAAAAAGATCAATGCAACATATTTTACGAGGGAAAACAAACACCGTAAATTAATTTTAAAAAGACAAACAATACGATTATTACAACAGATGTGTCATCATAGTAGATCCCATCCTCCCTCCTTTTGAGAACTATTTTTTCTTATTAATATGTTTTATTTAAACACTTTATAACTACTTAACTATTTTTATTTTAAAACGGTTTCCTTTTTCCCCCCTCAAGTTATGTTTCCCCTATGTATTAACTAACCGAAATCCATTTATATGTACTTTAACTATTATTAATTATCGCATTAAAAGTATGATTTCTGTTGATTTGCTTAAAACTTTTCTCCCTGGATGAAAATATTTTCTACATCAAACGTAAAAGTCAGTATTATAAATGAAGTACGAGATTTTAAACTAGGAATAATTAAAGTTGCTATAATCTATTCAGACTAAGCCTATATTTAATGTAATTTATTTTTACTAAATATTAACTTATTAATTCATGGATAAACATAAATATCAATTATATAAATTTTGTTAATAATGCTTGGAAACTTTCTTAGTTGATATTTTTAAAATAAATTGCCCGAATAAATGTTCCTTTTCCATACCAAAGTAAAACTATAAGTTATGCTGCTAGCAACGTTTTCCCTCTAAATTCATATTTCGAAAATGAGGTTATGTCACGATAATCAATGAGTAATTTAGAGTTTTGCATCTCGAAATTTCTTACCGTATTATTTATACATGAGAATACTATTGATTGAACAAAACAAAATAAGTACCTGACAGTTAATGTAAAACTTCTCCAGGTAGCTGATGAAAGGAAGAAATGATAATTTGTACAGACTATAAAACACATGAATCTGGCATTGCTGTGAATGAAAAGAGCATGCATAAGCAATTCATTTTCTTCTAACAGAGAGACTGGTCACGAGAAACGGAAGTGATTACATTCTAGGTTCTTTTAGATATACAGTCATAGGAAGTTTAAGTGAATGGTTTGCTTCGCAAATCGACGGAAATGCGGGTTATCGAATGGGCCAAGTTTAGCCTTTCGAATGAAAAAAAAAAAAAAAAAATCATTCCTTAAAGTCTCATATTTAAATATTCTATGAAATAAGTGCGCTGATAAAGAACAGTATAAGGAATCTTTTACTTTATAAAACAAATTCCTTATTTTATTTACATGATAGACAATTAAATTCCTAGAAGGCATCTTTAAAAAATATACATAAATAGTTAACAGTAATAGTGTGACGTCGAGTGATCAATTAGGGCTTCGCTTTGTTGACAAATTTGATTTTACATAAATCTCTGGCTGGGAAAAATCAGACATGTTTACCTATTTAAGATTTTTTATACAAAACTTAATAATTTAACTCATAGATTAAATACCTTGGGATAAATATATTTAGAGCAGGTCTTTCGAACTCCGGAAAACTCAACTTCAATTCCAAAAAAGTTATTTTCCAGTATACTGCTGGATGCCAGTTCTCGCCTTTTATTGGATATAAGACTATGCTAAGTTTAGAGCCTGCTAAAGTTAATAATTATTTGAATGAAAAAGCAGAATGATCGTTTTCCGGATAAAAAACTGTAACTGTAATACTGTGACACATACTTTACACAAATTGTAAAATCTTCAGTTCAAGTTACCTTAACAGAGTAAAGAGTATTAGTCTTTTTATTTATTTATTTTGGAGCTAGAAATATGAGAAATAGGCGATACTCTCTCAGGAATTCGAACTCCGGACCTTCAGAGCTAGCCGGTCATACTTTTCAATTACACCACGAAGGCACGAGCTAAGGGAAAAAATAACATACAATAGTTCCTCGAATGATTTTTAAATCTTCGGTTATCATTCACACTAGAGTTGGAGGATCCGCTCCAGAACGGATTCAAAGAATCGATTCATTTTAGAGAGAATTTACTCCAATTCCGGGAAACGGAGTCAGAGTATAGTTCTTTTACAGGTCATGGAGAGCTCTTCTTGAAAGCATGCGAGGAGCAGAGATTTGCTAGTCATTCACGAAGTTCGATTTCCATTTTTGAAAAGAAAGCAATGTTTATCCTCAGATGATAAAAGTGAGTTTAATTTTTATCAAGTCCCAACTTTTTGAAAAAAAATTATTTCAAAATTTATTGTTCGTTCTGTGTGAAAAGGGGGTTTCAAGTATCTCAAAACGAAAGAAATCAGTTCAAGGAGTTAGCGTTTGACTGAGTCAATCCTTCCGATCCCCACTTCTCTTTCGATTCTTTTCGCTCTTCGCTTCAAACCTGGCTAATCTTTCCTTATCCTACTGTTCGTTCGATTTTCTCCGCTCTTCGCTCCACCTTCGCTAACCGCTCTTGATTCACCCGTCGTTCCGGATTTTTTTCATCAAGATTATCGTTAATAAGCGATAAGTCACAAAAAAGGATCGATTCGTTTTAATTAGCGAATTGTTCTAATCCGATCCCATAATACAGCGGTTTTGCCCATCTCTTATTCTCCTATCAAGATGGTTTTCGAGCTGCACTGTACCGCGCGCTCTTAATAATTAACCTTCGTTATTGTTGCTCTGGGTTACTCATTTCTAAAATCATCAAGCGCATCTTCTTGACCATCTTTGAATATCAAATGCCATTCAGAGGCACTCGGTTTTCTTCATACCATCTTGACTACATACCAGCTTTCCACAGTTCAAATTATAATGCTTAAATGCTTTGTTCCGTTTTTTTTTTTTTTTTTTTTTTTTTTTTTTTTTTTTTTTTTTTTTTTTTCCCAACTTTCACAGTGGAAAGGGCGGAGGGGAATGTTAATTTGTGCCTTTAAATTTCGATCACCTATTTTTGCAGCAAAATGTACACACGGATATCTCTTTCCTTCTTACTGATTGACACCTGCCTGCATCAGCATATTTTGGTCAAAATGTGTTCAGAATTTTATTCAAAATTCAAACTCCGACAAATTCAAACATAAATTTTATCCGATTTCGATGCAATTAAGTCACTAACACTATGCTACCTTTCTAGGAATAAACCTGTCATTCCTTGTGCATTGCCATATTTTAACAAATAAACTTTTATTCTAATTATTCTATTAAATGTTCCATATCTTAATATTATGAAGTGAAAAATAATTATAATTATTTTACTGGATATTGAAAGTGTTCAGAAAACGGAACTAAAAAAGCTCTAGTAGTGTAGACTATTTCGTGTATTAAAATTGAACAATTAAATTAACCGTGAAATTAGTATTTTTTAGCGCGATGGATGATATACGTAAGATACAAACAACATAAAGCCCGAACAAAATACAGCGTAATAATAATAATTTCTAATTTAAAAATTCATTTCACAAATTTACCCTTTTTAAAAACGAAACTTCAAGAAACTATACAAGACGCGCTCACAGAATTTTGAAAAATAAATGTAGTTCCAAAATATCCACCTTTCGGTTCTTTTCGGGAAAAACATGAAATTTAACAAAATACCAAAACGGAATACAGAAATTTACTACGAGATCAACTACGAGATCGTGACGTCACAAACCGGTGGCTGACAATCGCCGTTACCTACTACTTACCTTTAAAATATATACAGTGGTGGCCAAAATCGTGGACACTTGGAAATTTTTATGTTTTTGAACTTTTTATGCTTATAGAAAACGTTACGTTTCACAAAATGCAAACTTGTGTATATCATTTTAAAGAGAATTTATTACTGAATTCAATACAAAACACGAAATTCAATTATTTGCAATACAAAAAAAGTTCAACGATAATAGTTATCGATATACATTAGAAAGTGATGATTGATATCAGTACTTAGTAGGGTACCCTTTATTTTTGATTACAGCTTCATATCGACGTTCATTGAGCTGACAAGAGTTTTAAGCTCTTCTTTCGTTATTACATGATGCCAGAAAACAATTATAACCTCAATTAGTTCCCTTTTATTTGATGGGCGCCTCATTCGGACAAGAGTTTTTAAACGGTGCCACAAATTTTCGATAGGATTGAGGTCAGGACTGTTTCCTGGCCATGACAACAATTTAATGCTCTTTGTACGAAACCACTCTTTCGATATTTTGGCCGTGTGGCAAGGAGCAGAATCCTGCTGAAAAATAAACGAAGCATTGTTGGGAAAGAGATCTCTGATGGAAGGTAGAAGTTTTGGTTCTAGAATAGTGTCAATGTATTTTCTGACATTCAGTGTCCCATCGATGACATGAAGGCGACCAATACCATCTGCTGACATGCATGACCAAATCATAATACTAACTGATGGGTTCTTCGCAGTTGCTTGAATGCATTCAGGATGTAGCTCTTCTCCTATTCTACGTCTTACATATTTTCGCCCATCACTACCGAATAACGATATCTTAGTTTCATCACTCCATATAACTTGTGACCACTGATCATCTGTCCAATTAATGTGTTCCTTGCCCACTGTAGTCTTTTCTTTCGTTGCTGAAAATTAAAATAAGGCCTTTTTTCGTGGAATTCTACCTCTCAGTCCAACATCTGTTAATCTTCTCCTGATTGTTCTTGAACTGACAGAAACACCAGCATCATTCAGATCACTTCTGATGGTCGCTGATGACATTTTTCTGTCTTGAAGACATAGTCTTTTTATTCTTCTGTCATCAATAGATGTGTGTGCAAACCTTTTTTTCGGCCTTTTCCTTCTTTGTTTTTTTAATGAATTTGTCTCCTGATATGGTAAACAAAACTTACGGACTCCAGATGTAGTCACTGAACCACCCACGTGTCTTGCAATTTCAGCATAGGAAAGACCACTTTCTCGTAACACAATAATATTACATCTCTTTCTAGGTGTCCAATCTACTCTTTTATTTGATGTCATTGCTTCTTGACTAAATATTAAAAATTTTTACAAAAATTCCTACTTGTAATTGCAGTGTATAAGAAACAGGTCCTCCTTCTACAGAACAAAGCAAAATAATGAATTGTTTCATGATGTCAGCTTCTACTGTCAGTTACTAACATTTTATTGGTTCTCAGAACAAGAACAGTGATTAGCCAGGAAAGCTAGACATTACAAACCACTTCATTTATACAGTTTTTATTTACATTAAAGTACATATAACTTTTTTTGTACTGCAAATAATTGAATTTTGTGTTTTCTATTGAATTCAGTAATAAATTCTCTTTAAAATGATATATACAAGTTTGCATTTTGCGAAACGTAACATTTTCTATAAGCATACAAAGTTCAAAAACATAAAAATTTCGAAATGTGTCCACAATTTTGGCCACCACTCTATGTTTTTAAAGCTTTACTAACAAGATGATGTTTTCTAGTGATGTAGATACATATTCTTTTTCTTTTTTTTTTTACTTTATATATCCATTCAACATTAATATATGTAAATAGATACAGAGAGAGAGATGAAAATATGTATTTTCAATTCATTCGCGGATATAATATTGAAAACATATTCATATGCACAAAGTATATTATAAATTTTTGTATGGTCTTATATTGTATGTTTACAGTTAAAATAATGCTTTAAAGTACTGGTTGACTTTTGATAAGTAACAGTAAGGAAATGTTGGAATCTCGCTCTATACTAATAATATTCAAGTCACTTAACTGCATAAAAAATATATAGGAAGGATGTATGGAAATATTTTTAAGGATATTAGAAGCTCTTAAATTTTAGCAGGGCAGATTTATAAGCACAAAAGCTTCCATTAAAGAAACTAATTCTATATACACATATATACACAAGTTGAATTACAGTTCTTTCTTATTTTTATTCTTAAATAGAATTTTCTTAAATAGCAAGGTGTTAGCCGAGGTTTCCAATCCTCGTTACCAGAGTGTACATGGTAGAGCCTAATTATGTCAGGAAAAGTGCTATGACATAATAGGATACCGGACGTCCCTTGCATTAACACTCCATCCCTCCCTCCTTCCC